TGAAGCCCACTACATAATAGCTGTGTCCCAAAACCTAGGCCGCATCCTTCGTAGGACCCGACCTTCTTGGTTTATGTGGGCCGAGTCTTCCTTCGAAGACCGAGAAGGCCGGAAGTGCGAGGCTGTGAAATGGGATGGTCTAGCTTTCAGATTTGCGTCACCGCTGTCTCGGTGGAGTTTAATAAACGCACCTATCTGCTTCTTGCTATCTAAAATATAACAGGACACTGGCGTAAATTCTCGACCATCTAATCTAATCTTTAATCTCAGTCAAACCGATTTACTCAGGGACAAATAAAACACTGAAAAAAGCCAAACAATAACATTTTTAAGTCATCTAAGTGACTTATATATCATGTTTAACCTGAGTAGCGAAAGACCGCAGGGGTCTGAAAACGATGTGCTGGGAATCCACTGCTCTCGCCGGCTCTAGTGACCCTTGAACCCCCGGCTAGCTATCAACTTGGTGGGTAACAAACATCTCCAAAAACGTCGGAGCACTTTTGCAAATATGTTGTGTCATATCCCACAAACTCTTAAAAAAGGCAGTAAACCGTTTTCTGATGGAGAGTTCATTCAAGAGTGCTAGGTGGACTCTGCAGGGCTATGTCCAGATAAATAAGTGCACTTGTTGTTATTTTTCTCACTGAACAACTATTCAGTATTTCTTAGCTATGTGTTAAAAATAAAATGAAATACTGTAATCATTGATTTCCTCTTTATGACTTGTATTTTTGATCCTCTGGGGATTGTGTATTGAACGTGGCTGTTAAAATAAACTCCTTGATTTGAAGCTGGAATTCTGCATTTCAATCACTGATTTAAAGCCCACAGTGGCGCTGGTGGTGCACAGAGCCACCACTACAAATGCTAAATGGGCTTAACTGTGCATGATCTAAGTTACCAGTCTTAAGTAGTAGTAGTTTGTAGTAGTATTACAAACTTAAAAGTTTACTGTAGAACTGCTCTTTTTGTAAGTCAATATTATGTCTCATCTTCTTCAACAGAAAAGACTGATGGCTTCAGAGTGCTGTCTAAGCCCTTACCTTCATTCTGCTCTCTATATGTACACAATGATGGATGGCACCTGTGAGTGTTTTGACTAGCTGAAAGTAAAGGCACTTATAGTGATTTATAAGAAGGGTAAAAAGTTCCCTATATGTGAAGTGTTATGTGAGTGAAGAGACTCTTTGTGTTTGAGCCTCATGAAACAGAACACATAAGGTTATTAAAGATGTTGACATTTTTACCTGATCATCTTTTTACTTTGCTTGGACAGTGTGTATGTCATACTAGTTATATCCATCAACATACTTTGGGGAAGCTTAGAATTGGTACACTAATACTCTGTACTCAGGAGTCTCACAACTATGATTTCAGTTGTGAAGAGAAAAAGGGGAAGGAGGAGGATTTCTGGTTTGTGTGAATCAGTGAGAGCAGGAAGTGTCTGTAATCTTTCTACTAGCTGAATGTAATAATACTTTTGTCAGCTGGCATCAACAGGGCAAGACCACCTGAAACTCCAACAAATGCAAAATAAGCCGAGCTTGATGAATGCACCGCACAGCATAACCATAAGTAGGCTAAGCTTTGTCAGAGGATGAAAATGATTAATTAGACACATTAATTAAATTTATACTTTTCATTGTGGCACCGTTTTTGACTGATATATTCATTAGAGATTAGGTTGGCATCCACTGAGTGTGTACACCAGCAACAAGGCTGCTGTAAAACTGCACATATACATTATTTTTACTTTGTTTTGTGCCATCCTCTTCTTTTTTTGTCTTTGGCTGCACTAACACTTTCATCTCAGCTGTCAACTGTGGTTTGACAGTCTCTGTAAATATTTACTGCTTCTACTGCATGATAGATATGAAGTCACTGGCATCACTGTTCCTTCAAAGCATGGACCGACAGTTTCAAGTGAGTAGAGGAAAGTGCTAATACTCAACACAGACCCTTGAGCAGGGCACTGACTCTCAACTACCTTCTTCCTCAACTTTGCACTGCTCTGCAATTCTCTTCTCCTTGGTTGGTTGTCTTGGTTTGATCATACGGATACGGATTTAATATTTCCATATTCTGTTTTCCATATAAACAACATTTTTTTTTAAAGAAGCGAGACTTAAAGTACAAAACAGTTGTTCTGCATTATGTGTTTGGTAATAATGGAAATTTTAAAATCTTGTAGAGGGGTCTGGGTTGTACCAGAGACACTCCTTCACCTTTCTGGTGGGATACTGAGGTATTATTAAAGCAGGTGCTTTGTCCTGGGTCGATCCTGGGCCTCCTAGTTGGAGGTGCCCGAAACACCTCACCAGGAGGTATCCTAGTCAGATGCTCAGACCACTTGACATGGTTCTAAGGAAGTTCCCAGACATCCTTCAGAACAAGTTGTTTGCCCCATAAACAGTATTTACCAGTAATCAAAAAATCACTTCCAGCAGCAAGTTTCATGTAAACACATGAATGAATAATAATGTTACGTATATGATTCTTTTTGCAGTATGTAGCTTAATGTAAGTATATCAAAGTTTAAAACTAAATGCAACAGTCGTATGTATTTACATTTGCATGAGGGCTCAAAACCTGAAATAATAAAGTCTTTTCAATGAAATTTTCTGTATTAATGTCACCAAACATTCAGATTTTTCTTTGTGCTCTCATTCAGTCTATACCTTGTAAAACAATTTATGGACTGTGTGAATTTACAATAACTGTTCCCAGCTTGGAGGACTGAGTCACTGTGTCTGTGATATATTAAATGTTGCACAAATATCCCCCATTACATGAAGTAGGGGGGTCATTTGTTTGCCACCGTCTGGGTCTGCACTGGTTGCAGACCAGGAGAGCACAGAGAAGAGGGAGGAGATGATGGAGGGGGTGGAGGTTCCTGCCGGCTCATGAATTACAGATCACACCGTTTAATCTACACATATGGATCTGGCATGTGTTAGTCTTTGAGAGTATTTTAAAATATTAAGGACATGTCCCAATGAATGCACCATAATGGGGTCTGAACAAATTCCCGCTGCTTCCTGATAAGTTAGTTTATACAGTCTGTGATGTGTTGCTCAGGTTTTACAACATGCATGTGCTCCAAATATTGATTTCTTCTGCGTGGAAAGCAGACAGGACCTTGTAAGCAACCATTTAGAAGACAGGTAAGATAGAAAGAGAAGGAAGACAGAAAACCTTCTTTCTAACATGAGAGACCCTTTTGACTCTTTGTGTAGCTTTATGTTGTGCTATTTAGATCTCAGACTGAAGAACTATGTACACACTGTGTTTCTCTATCCTCCATCCTCTCCATCCATTACAGCCTGAAAAGGGGAGAGTGTACAAAAAAGCTCAGTAGAGTGTAAATTAAAAACACACCACAAGTACCAATTATTCTGCCCAGATAGTCAAATAACAATAATAATTCTCACTAGACCTTTTTCTTCCTTGAAGCTCAAGAAGATGCCGTTTGTTACTGAAAGCCAAGCCGTAATGTTCCTGCTAGTCTGTAAAATGTGCCATGCATTCTGGTTTTGTGTGCTTGGACTTGATGGATTATGTGTTATAATATGTAACTGGTTGAGCTTACTCAGAATTATGTGCACATCCCTGTGCCAATACAAATAATTAATCCAACCACAGAAAACATCAAGCTCGCTCATTATTTTAGTCGAACCTACTGACTGTTAAATAGCAGATTTTATTAGAGTGTTACATCCATCTGAAAGGCAGTTTGCAAGTTTGTACTGTTTACTGTCAGTTGTAATCTGTGTGATGAGGGAGAGAGTGTGCATAACCTCCAAAAAATAAGCCAAAGAGAGAATAACCAGTGAGAAGTCATGGCTCCATGTTAGGTATTTGTGGAGTGTTGGTCCCTGTTGTGATTTTGCTGATATTATTTCGTGTTCATAATTTTCTGGTGTTCCCTTCGTTTCTTAGACACGGTATGAAGCAACTTTAACATACTCAGAATATCTTTTTTGTTAACTGGCTTTGCTCACCCTGCAAATCAGGCTAGGGAAGTGAAAACTATAATATTCCAAAAATATGACGAGGTTACACACACAAATCATCTGGAAGCATGATGTTTTTACTAGGCTGTTCTCTTGACCGTGCGCTTTAAGTGAGACTGTCCGCTGCAGGAATAAATTTTACCTGCAACTTGTCCAGCTGTAAACTTACAGAAGTGCAAACTATGTGTCACATGATCACTGCAATTTGTACGTAAGTAATTTCCATGTCTCCTTTATTGGACTGTGAGAGAGTCAGACATGAACACAAGTTGCATTTAATGTGTAATTATGAGTTCGAGAGAATCTGTGTTGTTTTTCTGCTTAGTGTTGCTTGATCAGGTCATGATCAGGTCACCAGATCAACAGTGTTCTGCAACATTCTTCTTTTTTTTCAACATGATTTGTTTTCCGCTGTTATTCAATGGTGGACTCAGTCTGTCTTCTTTTTGCTTCCTATATTATTATTATTATTTTTAATTGTGCCTTGATTGTGTTCAGCTTTGCCGTTTCCACCTGTGTCTTCCTCTGCAATCGGCCATCTGAGTCGTTATAGTCGTCTCGACATACTTTAAGTGCTTGAATTCTGGATTCCTGTTTTGTATTATCTTATTGTCTCATCAACCCCATGAAGCTCATCATCTGTGATAATTATCTTTTTTAGAGCCTTAAAACAAAAACCAAACAAAGTATTCTGAAAGTATTAAAGACCTCAGAGGATAGTCGGTTTATATTTCCTGATATGATGCTTAATTCATGTTTTACTTTTTCTTTGTAGCTGATGGTTCTCAACTGCATTTTGGGGGATGCATCACATGTGGGGAAGGATCTCTGTGCTCTAGGTCTGTGGTGTTAATTAAAAAACAGGAAATGCATCTTATCCAAAGCTGTTAATCACACCCCCAGAGTAGTTCACATTTTTAGGATTATTTTTATCAGGGCAAAAAATAATCAACACTAGATTATGGCTTTTTTAAAAATAGATATATACTTTAATACACACATTTTTACAACCACAGTGCATCTAATGACATATACAATAGTACTCATGAGACAAAAAACAAACAGCTGAACAAGTCTTGCCATGCCTGATAAGTATTACACAACTCACTGTAAAGAGGTGAGAAACAGGTGCTTTAACCCATCTACAACGCTGGAAGTATCCCTTCCCTTCATCAGCATTCAGTGCAGTCTGTAATCCTTTTGACCAAAATGTAACCCTGGCAGGTTTGTTTGATTTATATCCTGTCGGATCTTCAAGGTGAAGCCACGATATACATCTGCTGTATCCACTGCTGCTGAAGCTTGTGTATGTGTGTCAGTAGTGGCACGACTTAGAGAAACGTTAAAAGAATGCTTAAGGGTCCTGACTGGTAACAGTGAGTGTTGACACTTAAACACAAAGTTGGGATTTTTGACTACCATCGATGGTAGCGGAGCTGCTGAGCGGTTGATGCTGCATTGTCATTAACGGCCGATCCAGGGGTGATTCTAGATTCAAATTTTCAGGGGGGCTCAGCTCCAATTACCTCCAAAGAATAATATTCTTTTAGCCCCGCGTGCTGTTGTAAACTGCTTTAAGGCTTTCAAGTTTTAGAGAAGAGGTCATTGCTTCTTTAGTGGGCTTTCCCTTTGTGCTGATACAGAACTAGTTTTTACTGTAACTACACTTCTGTAGGTTTCTTGATGAGGTCCTTATTGCTGTTTAATATTTGACTTGCCCCAAAATTGGTGACAGTACTTGTGACTTAGCGATGACTTGTGGAGGTATTTGGTAGATTCCTTTTTGTCAGATTACAAGTTTAAAAGTAGGCTTTTAAATACACATGTGTACATCTCCACTTGACTCAAATGGTCTAAACTAGCTAAAGCATTAGAAATGTAAGGCAAGGGAAATTTGCGTGAAAATTCCTGATCCATGAGCGTGAAGTTAGTGAAAAGTTCTCTGATATAATCTTTGCTATAATGATCATAGTGCATGCATGAATGTACCCCGTCTTCTTCTTAATGGGTGGACTAATCTGAACAAAACTTCCCCCTGTGTTATGTTCTGTTTGCTTTTCTTTCACGTCATGTTTAACGCACATTGTCTGTAATTTGTATCCATTACAGGATTTTTTCAACTCATCACTAAATATGGAATGAATAAAAAATGCCACAGGTGCAGAAGTATAAGACTCCTTTATTAATTTTCATAAAGAAGTCTTGCACATTCCTGCCCAGGTAGCATAGAGGTGGTTAAATGACCTTTTCTGAAATCTGCAACCCGTTTCTAAAATTGAACCACAGTGAAAGTTTGCTGCTTTCAAAATGAACCTACAAGCTAAACGAGCTAAAAAGAACACAGGTCTTCAGTGTTTTTTCGAACAGTAACCCTTTCACAACACACATAGTTTATTCACTGTTGACACAAAACATATTGATTAATGCAGGTTTAGGTTCCAAAGACACGTATCTAAAGTTTCTGGACCTGACAGCAAAGCAGTGACAGTCATTGAAGCGATTAAATCTGTGACAAACTTCTCCAGGACAGGACAGAAGCTAATTTGACAGTTCTCTTTAAAATAGTCTGTTGTTGGTGTCACAGTTAACTTGACACAGATGCACTGGTGCTTAAAAATGCTGGATTTTACTCCCGGCCAGACATGACTGAAACACACGTTGTAAACAAACACCATACCTGGTGAATCACTGCTTAGCATACGACGGTGTTTTTGACAGATACCCAGTAATAATGAATGAACATGCACCACAAAGTAGAAGACATATTGTAACACTGATTGCTACATCTACTTGTAGCTACTGCTGAAGTGCTGAAGTGATGGTATTTAGCTTCAATATTGCTGCTGAACTGTGCTTGTGATGGAATACTCATTGCTTTTATACATGGCTAACTAGCAAACCCACTTGTTTGCTAGTGATAATTATTGATGCATTTCTTCACAGTTCCTATAGAGAGCTTACATCAAAGCATTGGACTGTAGTGTGTGCATGTATGTGGTGATCCACTGCTGGCACCTCATTAATATGCTGTCCTCCTATATCTGCAACAGAGGGAATGGGAGACTGGCATCTCTAAGCCCTCTTGACCATCTTCAAAAAAGATAAAAGCTTTGACCCAAACTAGTTTACGCGGGACACAAAAAAAAAAAATTCAAATTCAGCAGACTGCTCCGTCCTTTTGACGGACAGAGATGAATGAAAATTGCTGCCAAAGCAAATACTGAAACAGCATAGAAAAACACGCTTTCTCTGCAGGCACCATCATGGGGCTTCAAAGGAGAAGGCGAGGACAAGATGAAAGGCTGGGTGCATTGTGATATTTGAAACACACTGGCTAGCCCTCAACTAACGGATGTCAAGGTCTGTGGGTTTTGCAGTCCCTTTTTTTTCATTGGGATATGAATGAATCGCGTTGAATCAAGTGCCCTCCATTGTGCCGTGATGGTCAAGAGAACATCCAAGACATTCTTGAATAACGGGACAGAGGAGCACTGGTGAGCAAATATTTATAGGATATCTACAGGGTAAAGCTCTGAGCAGTTCAGTCTCTACAGTTCTTTCCCCCAAGTCTTTTTTTTCCAATAATAAACTGAACATCTACCAGAATACTCTGGACCATAAAGTTTCTTACTTTTTGCTAACCCTTAATTGTCCTTGAAACACAGGGTGAGGGTGGGGCGTCTACAGAAGGGTGTCTATTCATGCTCAGGGAAAGAGAACACCTATCGGGGTAAAGCCTAGTGTTACATTGGGCAGACTTTGTTCTCTGGAATGGGAAGCTGAGCAAATGAACCGCAGTCGGTTGGAGAATCAGATCTGAAGTCCGATCTGGGTGACGTGGTGCTGCCCACGGGGATGTGGGCAGCAATGGCTGACATCTCTCCCGTGTGACTCTCGGCAGTGATTCCAGGTCGATCAGAGGTCTGATTCAGGTTGCTATCAGGGATCGTCCCCACGCCGGTGAAGTGCTGGATAAGACACTTCCTGAACTGAACACAGAGCAAGATAACAGATTAGAACCTCTTATGCCATGTTCACATTGAAATATCATGTAATGATGAAATGCCCTGTTTAAATAACTTATTAGCTACTGCTAGCCAAACGCTAATGTTTACTTTCAGCCACACTTACTGTAACCACCTCTGTTATTTGACTTATCTGATTCTGAATTTGCTGCTGAACGAACAAATGTCACGGTTAATTGCTGGTGTGTTTGATACAAATAACATTTTATTAAAGTGTTTGTTACACAGTGTGTTCAGAGTATCTCTCACACGACTGGATCTGGTACAAGACAGACATGCATTTGGAAGTAATGCTACCCACGAGCAATAACAGGACCACACTGACAGACACAATGAACAGCAGTAACTAATGCAGTATTTACATATACAGATCCAGGGCAATAGTCCAGAGCAAAATGCAGATTACTCAACTTGCTGGGGAGAGCTGTTTTTTTAACATTCCTTTATCAGCTATACATGTTTATGACCAACTAGACTGGTGATGGAAATTAGTTGAGGCTATATGCACACATGTACAATATTGCACACTGCCTTTGCAGACTCTTTTTTTTCTCCTGTTCCTTACAAATGATCTAAACAGTAATCAAAATCACAAGTCAATGTATCTCTGCAACTAAGATCATTTATATTTATTTCCTTTGGTAGGACTAAAGCACTCAATAAACTGATCTGCGAAGCCAGTAATGTTGTAGGGATGGAGCTGGACTCCCCTAAGGTGATGTCGGAGAGGCGGATGTTGTCCAACATACGGACAATGCTGGACAATACCTCCCACTCACTCCATGACGTGCTGGCCAATCACAGGAGCACGCTCAGTGAGATTACTCAAATGCACCACTGAATGACACAGGAAGTCATTTCTGCCTGTACAACTCATCCATCTAATGCACACTGTGCAATAGTTACACCTTTTTGCACATGCGCTACACTGAAAATAAGAAATAACAAATATGTACAGGTTAGAGTAAAATGTCAATCACATATATTTCATCTCTGTTAAATTCTGGATATTTATAATTAAGGTAATTATATGTATTGAAGGTATTTCTTATCATTTGTAAACTTTGTAATAAATTGTTTAATTTAGTTCAGTCTGTTACTATTCTTATTGACAGTTGGTCTAAAGAGATCTGCTCTACCACCTGTGGCTACTAATCGGAAGGTTGGTGGTTCGATCCTTGGCTTCCCCAGTCTGCATGCCAAATATCCTTGGGCAAGATACTAACCCCAAGTTGCCCTCTGATGCATTCATCGGAGTATGAATGTGTGTGAATGTAGTTTAGTTTGCACTTGAGTTTAGAAGTGCTTGTATGAGTGGGTGTGAATGGGTGAATGAGGCATGTTGTATAGAGCGCTTGGAGTACTCCGGGAGAGTAGAAAAGCGCTATTTAAGAATCAGTCCATTTACCATAATTTTCTTAGGTATTAAAAAAGTATCTGATTTTTTTTTTTCTTTGCCTGTCCCGTTTGGTTCTTTTGCCATCAAAATTATTGTCTAAAGGCAAAGAAAGATGCCCAACGGATTTACTTTACCAAATGGACCGTCCCAGCCTTGCCGTATTGGTCTATTTGATTCACCTTTGCTTTAATTGTTTATTTTATTTTTCATTTGCTGAACACGGGACAGACTTGACTGGGGAAAAGAAAAGGGAGAAAGAAAGAGGGAAAGAAAAAGAGCGGGGAAGAGGGACAGTGATAAAGGGCAAAAACCAAAAACCAACAAAACAAACAGACAAAAAATACATATGTCAATCACCTGGATCACCTGTTGAGAAAGAAAAAAGAGAAAACAAGCAAAGAAAAACAGAGCTGAAAAGTATCTGATTCTGATGCTAAGAGCAAACTGCTTGTTCCTATGACCAAAGCAGGGAACCAGAGTGACTATAACTGTATATCATGAAGTTTGACTGTACAGAGGTGACCATGAAGAAGATCAGCTCTACAAGGTGTCCACAATATTAAAGTGGTTTACTTATGTGAACCCCTCTAAAGAGATTGCATTTGTGTCTGAGGGCTCCATTTCTCACGAACATAAACACAGGCTGGTATCTTGTCAGCGCTCGACGAGGCAGGTGAGGTAAAGCTTCCTCATTAGTGATGTGCTGACAGCTGTCAATGTGCCACCATTACTCAGATGCAGTTCTGCAGAAAGAAATGCCAGATGGAAAATCCATGAAGAGAGAAGAGATGGAGTTCTTCCTGTCTCACCTGGAGACATTTAACCAGTCATGATGTGTACAGTTATGTAACAGAGAAAAAAGGGGAAACTGTAGCTGTATGCACGGTCAACTAGATGTGAATTGAAAAATGTAAGGTTTTTGCACCTTATGCCCATAAGGTGCAGGACAAGTATCTCCTCAGGACTTCTTATAATTTGGGAGATGTCTCACAGAACATGGGGATCCTGTGGTAAAAAAAAAAATAGCCTTGTGCAAATCATGACAGTAATTTGGGGTTCTTCTTCTGCCTCTCATCCACCCAAGAATCAAATGTGCTCCAGTGGCATTTAAAAGCTTGACAGCAGTTTAGGTTTAAATTCAGAAGTTTCATGTTGCTTCACTGTATTGAAAACCCATTTACAGCTAGATTACTACTGCTTGTTCTGTTACGCTGATTCAGCTGATTCTGACGGTGGCTGGGAGGCGTGCACCTGCTCAGAAAGACACAACAGCAGTGGAACTGACACCAGTGTTACCTTTAAGAATACAGCCATTTTTTAGCAGTCATTGATTTCAATCATTGATTTCACATTCCATCAACACTAAAAATCCCTGATCCCTTTTTCCGCTTCCCACTCTGTGTAGTCTTGAGGAGAAAAAATCATTCCCAACCCTCGGTGACCTATCTAATTTAATGGTGCAAGCCTCCTAACTGCCCCCCTCAAAGCAGCAGTGCTGTTCAGAGTGTGAGAGCAACACCTCTGCTATCCTCCGATGTCATGAAAAAGCACAAGGCTGCCGTTATGGCAGTGCTGCATTCAATAGCGATTCCTCCTGTGACCTAAAATATGTTGTAGCTTTTTATATATATAATGGTTGTATAAAGCTTTCCTCCAATAAAACAGTAACTTTAAAGCACTCCCACATAGAGAAACAGGTCATAAAAGATCTCTTTAATGCCAAAACGATTGGCCTGAAACACATTAGTTCTTTATAGCAGATACTTCCACCTTCTTTAAAGTTTAAGAACACCCTAAGGTTTGGAAAGCTGAAACTCTGACTACACCAATTTGTTCTGGTGACAAACTGAGGTCATGGGCAAGCAGGACATATTTATATTTATAAGAACTTTTTAACTGAAAATACTGTGAATTAATTCAATCTTTAACTAAACTGAGCTGTGCAACTTCAACAAAACCTTCTTTTTTCTTATTGCTGGCTGTTGGACTCATTTTTGTTTTCTTATATTTTTATGGTCTAAGAATCCTTTCTGGTCTTGCAGCTCTTCTGGTTCGCCAAGTTGTACCTGTGGACTTATTATTACACAAGAAAAGTAAATATGCTGTATCACATGCTTCTGGTCATCTGTTACCTTAGAGACCACCTTTCCAATTATGCACTTTATCTTTCAAAATGCAAGCTATCAGTTCTCCGGTATGCCTGGCTAAGGTACTCCCTTGTACTTTAGCTGGTACTTGTGCTTTCTTGATTTGATTTTTACTAAACTGAGTCAATGGCAGAGGGAGTTGGATGAAAGAATTTGATTTCCTGAATAGAGATCAAGATCCTGTGGACAAAATGTACATTGTAGTACTCTCCAGAACCGTCAAGATTAGGACGGGGGTTTTTTTGGGGGGGGGGGTTATTTTGCTTTTTTAGATCCTCAATAATTAAACTAACATTGAGAGAGTAAAGCCTGTTTAAAGCATGAATTGAAATAAATTCCAATTATACTATTGTCATGGCACTGGGTCTAGTGCCCCAGTGTTTTTTGTTTAACTTGTACTCTTTGAATTACTGTTTTCTGTTTGTATTGCACTTATAGTTCCTGGTTTCTGTTTTTTCTGTTCTATTTCTGTGCCTCCCTTGTCTCTGTGCTTCATGTTTCCTCTGTTCCTGAGTCCATTTCCACATCTCAGTGTCTAGTCTGCGTCTTTATGAACATCATGCTTCCTGTTTTATTTTGATAGTCCGTGTCCTGCGTGCAGTGTATCTAGTTTTGCTTCCCCTTCTCTTGTTAGGCCTCATTTGTCCCAGCTGGATGTCCCCCATCCTCGTGTTGTCCTGCTTGTATATTTAAGCCCTGTGTTTGTCTCTGTCTGTTGCTGGGTCCTGTTCCTGGTTTGTTTTCTTGTTTTCTAGTCTGAGTTTCTAGTTTCCAGTTTAGTTTGTTGTATTTGTTGTTTTCTCAGCAAGTAAAGCTTCGGCTTTGAGTTTACCTTTCCGTTTGAGAGTCCTCCTCCTGCCTTCCACACAACACAGTCATGACAGCTATGGTGCTCTATGAATTTAGAAAGTTTTTTTTCACCTTTTAGCTTTTTGAGGTTTAATGTAACTGGAGGTGGTCTTCCTCTAGAACTACAGGGATGCAGTAGTCATGCATCAAGTCACCTCCAGCCTCTACTTTACCTCATCTTGTTATGTAACCAACAGAGACACAGAGAGGGAAAAATATCAAGCAGTAGAGGTCACTTGATTGTTATGAGCATTAGCAGTTGGGTGTTTAGACCTGCCGGCTAGGTGTTATTTACATTCAGTGGGTCTGGCTGACCTACTTAAACAGCAAAGTGGGGCAATCTGATGGAGATGGACGACATGCAACAGACTACAGGCAATAGTCTGATCTAGGCCCTTTGACAAGCACATGTATGAAAAATGTTATGTAGTCAATTCTAATGGTCATATTTCACTGCAGCAATGTAAATAATCCTAACAGAAAATAATAAAAATGGTCAATTACACAATATGCAAATGAGGGACCCGTGAAAGGAGACATGACACTGCATTGCACTTTGTACACTGGGAAAGTTACAGGAAAGTGATATACATTCTGTTAATTATTATAAATAATTATTTAAATCTCTTCTTCCCTTCTTTCTATTCAGAAATGAAAGAAATATAAAATGCCCTGTAGTTCCATGGACAATGAGAAATTAATTAAGACATTTAAATAGTGCTTTAAATATGGTGGTATTTGGAAGCAAGCATCAACTACCAATATTTATTAAATGCTTTGCATAAAGAACGAGTGTCTTATATAGAAAATGGTTTATGCCATCAAGGGAATAAAACACATCCAAGGTGATGGGTGTTTAAAGTCTATACATTATGTGTCAAAAAAATCTCCCTTTATTAGTTCTTTCAAAAGCTGCAGTGAAAATCCAGGTATTAGTCCCTTACACTGAGAACAGAGCAAGAGAGCACAGAGTAAAATAAAAAATTAAGTAAATGACATGAAGAAATGTCAGCAGCAGCCGTTTTACAGTGGTAAGCCTCACACCTTTTTTTTAAGCAGACAGTTGTGCACTGTGGATTTTATACTTCAGTCATTCACCGTGCACTGAGAAACAGGCCGACACTACAAAACAACAGAATAAACCCACCTCTATAGTTCAACAGCTTTCATGTGACACAAGCAGTAATGTGTCTCCAGGAAGGAATGGCCAGACTAAAGTAAAGCAACACTTAGTGTGACTAAAGTGAAACTATGATGCAGTGGCTCTAAAAATGTCTACTTACCTGTTTGTTCATGAAAACATAGATGATTGGATTGTAAACGGCAGCTGTCTTGGAGAAGAAGGCTGGGATAGAAGCCAGTCTTGGATCCAGTTCAATAGTTGGATGTGCTGTGACCAATATGGAGAAGACTGCGTATGGTGTCCAACCCACCATGAATGCCACGATCATCACCACCACCATGCGGGTCACTTGGCGCTCTGGTTTCCTGGCAGTGGCCAGACGACCATGTGATACCTGACAGCAACATAAAAATGTATGCAGTCATGCATTTGCTGGGACGTCCGCTCCTGGAAAGATTGCAGCACTGGTGCTCCAGACCAGCAAACTGCCAGAACTTTAACTTTTATAGAGGCAGTCACACAATAACTGCTAATCAAATTAATAATTGACCACAGGCATCTGACTGCTACTTCCCCTCTGAATTCCTACAGAAGCCGTAAGATTGTGCTTAGTTTCTCAGAGTTGTGTGAAAACTTTCTTTTTTACATAACTGTACATGTCCATCAGCTGATCAGTAATATCCAGTCATTTCCGTGTAGGTGGACAACAGCCATTATAACCTGACGCTTATTTGAGAGATGAGTAATAGTACTGTCAGCTGCAATGAGCAGTCATCCAGTACCTGATATTCCCTGTAATAAAAGCTCCAAATTAAGAAACATCTTAACTAGTAATATACTGAGTCACAATGATGACATCAGTACAGCGCTGAAGTCTGGTTTCTGTCATCCTTCCTTCTGAGCTCTCCTTCTTAACTTTTCTGTAATTTTGTAAAACTGTAAAAATGATAGTGTGTGTGTGTGTGTGTGTGTGTGTGTGTGTGTGTGTGTGTGTGTGTGTGTGTGTGTGTGTGTGTGTGTGTGTGTGTGTGTGTGTAAGAACTGACCTTCCTGAGCTTCCGTAGGAGCTTCCCATAGCAGAAGAAAATCACCCCGAGAGGCAAAATGAAACAGGTGACGAAGAAAGTAAGGATGTAGCTGTGATCTGTGATGTTGGTTGAATACCTGTTTAGAGATGAACAGAAAAAAAAGTTTGACTCCATTTTAAATTAATGTCACTGTGTCTACCTGTGACTCCCTGCGAGAATTAAATCTAAATAAGGCCATCTGCAGCAACCCCAACTGGTCGCAGCAGATGGCCGCCCTTCCCTGGTTCTGCCGGAGGTTTCTTCCTGTTAAAAGGGCGTTTTTCCTTCCCACTGTTGCCAAAGTGCTTGCTCATAGAGGGTCATATGATTGTTGGGTTTCTCTATATATGTAATATTGTAGGGTCTACCTTACGATATAAAGCATCTTGAGATGACTGTTGTTGTGATTTGATGCTGTATAAATAAAATTGAGTTGAATTCCGATCTAAATTCAGAACAAAATGTCATTTTGAGGTTTTTCAAAGAAAACAAAATTTAAAAAAAATACTTCTGCACCTCATTTGAGCTTCAGTTCAAAAGGGTAATTTCACAGCTGACACAAATTTCTGTGGCTCAAAACACCAGAGGGTGGGGTTTGAAGTGTGGTTCAGTTGGAGATTTGCAATGCAACATTTCACACCTCATTCATTTATGGAATCCATGGTGCTAAATATCAAACACTGAAGTTGTGTTTAGAGGACAGAAGAGTTGTAGGAAATTGGTAGATTTGTACAGAAATCCTCGGACCTGTGACAGCAACTCACTGGAATCCTGAAACTGTAGCAATATGCATGTATTCAACCCTCTGAGGGGCAGGACATTTTCCTCATTAGTGCCATCTACTGTTCAGTGGGCCAAATTAGCTTACAATTCAATTACCTAGTCACTTCTGCATATAAACAGACAGCATTGAAATCACCTCCAAGAGTCATTTTTAATCAGGTGAATTCCTGCACTGTTGCTGACAACTCAAAAATGTCAGCAACTCAGGATCTTGCTTTCCACCACCAGCTGGTGTGCTTTTTCTCCAACAGCATGCCTGCCAGAGAAAATCTCTTCATTCACATTGTCGGAAACAGTAGTGCTGCTTCACACTGGGAAAGAATGATATTTCAATCCAATCTGTTACAGAAACATTACATTATTGCTCAGACCATAAAATATAAGTTTAAAACACCCAAGTTTTTGCATGAAGCTAGACAGAAGTAACTGGACTATATACTATAATGAAACATTCTCGTTTTGGGGTTTTTTGTTAAAAAATGTGTGCTATGAAAATGGAAGAAGGAAAAATAAACTTTTCATGTTTCATGTTTTGTGTGACAGGTTTTTAAAAAACAATAAAATAACAAATATTTTATTAGAAAGAAGCCCTAATTCCTATAAAATACACTGTGATCACCGACACACAAACCTCTGATTATTCAAATTAAACTGAGAATATATGTGGCTGAGAGCATGAACATAATTAAAAGGTTGACCTGTGACCATCAGAACTTTCTTAGTTTTGGACCCGCCTGTGTCCCACTCTGTCTGGATAACGGCTGCAGATGCAAAAAATACTCTTCAGCCTATAGTTCATGCACCTATGGTATGAAATTCAACATCTTACATCACCTTATTCTCAAGTTATTCTCATTCAATCAATTTGAAACTCCTACACTGCTTCGTTCTTGAGCTCTCACATTCACAAACTTAAGTTGCAGCAGTGGGAAACCAAAAATGCTTGTGAGTTAGCGACAGCTCCAGAATCCTGGAAGAAGAACTTCAGCATTCTCTAAAAAAAATCATCTTTCCATAAATTTATCCAACACTGGTATCGTCCATGCTGAAGACTGAGTCGCTGATAATAAAAGGGGAACATATGGAGTATTTGAAACTAATATATGAGATTTGTGTAATTTAGATTTGTGAAAGAAAGATGCAGTCTGGGAAACCATCAGCTATCATCTGCTGACTTGGGCTTCTGCTGTAGCCATATTGTGCATAAATATATTAAAAACAAGGAAAACAAGCTCATGAAAATTCAACCTCCAACCACATCCTACTTAAACTACCTAAACTTAAATGTATCCTCCTTAATGTTATGTTGTACTGCAAGGTGATAGAGTTTTGAATGATTTGACATGTAGATGACATTGCACAATGCTGTACTCACATATTTACAATATGCTAGTGTCTCTAGTTGACAAGGAAACAGAGCAATAGGCAAACCTCCAAAACAGTATACATGATAGTTTGTAATGAGCGTATGGTAGAGGGTGAATAATATGTGCCATACATGCAGATCTTCTGATCAAGCCCAGGGATTTGAGCTGACAACCTCCCACCTCTGCATGTATCTTTGTACTAAATATCCTACAGAACACCTGAGCAGTAGAGGGGATTTCAAAGAAAGTCAGTAGGATAAAGTTAGTAGACTCCGTGCAGGGTGCAGCTACCTGCCGACAGTTCTGTGGCAACATGCGAGTCCTTCAAAAGCCAACGCTTCCAGCACTGAATATTTGCATATATACATATATGCATATAAAAAGATGCACATAAATGAGGCTTTTAAAATTTATCAGGCTGTGCATGTTGCAACTGAAGCTCACACACCTGCTCCTGCTGTTAACCAAATATTTTCTGACACAGCTCACACCGTGTGCAGCCAGAAATGTAGGGGATTATATATGTGGTTGGTATCTCCATAAGGTGATGTCTTAATTGCATTGTGTGGACAATTTGTTCTCCTGGCGCTTCTTCTAAGCAGTGGTTCTCCAACGGGGCTTCGGGCAAACTCTCAGCCCATATCTGCACGCCTTTGATCAAAGCAGCTAAATAGCACTACCCAGATGACGCCCTGAGGGCCGAGGTTAGAGGAGACCTCTTTTTTTTTTTATAACAAAAATTAGGACACAGCAAGCTAACATGGCTGAAAGAGCGACATAGAGCTGAGTGACAGGGTTGAGGGAAGAATGGCTGCTCCGTTTCTATGTAAAACACATTGTTTAAGGTTAACGTTGAACCAGTGAGGTTCATAAACACCTAAAATCCAGTAACATTAATTCATTTAAATTCTGCCATCAACATGTTGCACCTCATCAGGTGACTTAAGTACATGTAAAGACAATCTTAGGGACATACTCACATTCAATGACCCTTCATCATTGTCTTTGAGTATTATAGCCCTTGTAAACTTGCTTGGGTTAAATGACCAACTGCCTCAGTACCACACTGAACTTCATTCAGTTTGGAGAAACACGCTACACCTTATCTGCCCAACACCAAACAGTCACATATTCATTTACATCTCAAGATATTTCCCTCAGAACCAAAACAGAGCAAAAACTATATTGTTTGTTTCTTGGTTTATTTGTTTTTTTGCATTCATAAAGCTAAGGCATAATACTTGCTAACCAAGTAAACTTATTAGCACTAACAATTAGCTTAGCACTCTACCATCTCATTAAAAAAATGGTCAATTCTGGATTAAAAGAAAAACAAATATCATCATAGCAACCTAAACACTAATGTGGAGGTTTCATGCTCCAACCAGCGACATCACTATTTTGGATTGCATGCTATGGTTTGAGAGTTTCTTATGACGCCACCAAGTGGTCAAAAAAAATGATTCACAAACCAACAGTTGTTTATATTTAACCAAATACAGCCATTGATTTTGAATTGGTGCATGATGTGAGTAAGGAAAAACGGTCTTAAGAATTAAAGTTCAACTCAAATCATAATTTTCTGTTAAGGTCAATCAAACCCTGCTTTCTTAAGTATACAACAGGGTTATTTGCCCCAAAGCAAAAACCTCTAGCATTGAAATACTTTTTGGGTATTGAGGAAATAAGTTTGGCTTTTTTTCTAAATGGGATTTGTGTGTGAGAAGTGCTCATTTCTCACCAGTCGGGCTCACAGGTGGTCCCAATCTTGCTTACAGTGTATCTGTTCCATCCCAGCACTGGAGGGAAGGTCCAGATGAAGGAGAAGGACCAAACGAACACAAGACCCAGGATCGCATGCTTTGCTTGCAGTCGGATGTTACCCAGAGGTCGGCAGATCACAAAGAACCTTTCAAAGGACAGGACAGCCAGGGACCAGAGGGCCACGATCCCTTAGGGAAACAGCAGGAGGTCAATGTGGTTGAGCCAAGTGGGACATTTACCAGTGATACACAGCAACATCCCAGATTTGCACGAGGTCTGGGTAAAAGCAGCTGCCCTGCTGCTGATATAGTTTAATGATTTGAGATGGGTACATTAGGTTATCCCCTAATGAGCTTTGTTTTAAAAAGGCAGTATTTAATTGTGGTAATAAGTCTCTCTCATAGAAGAGCTAATTGCTTATCTCTCCACAGTGAGATTCTTCATGTGTATTTCTGCTAGTGTCACTGGGGAGAACTAAAGACAGGGGCATAAACGAAGGTGTTCAATTATCACACATTTAAACAAAAGCCTCTGGTATATAGGTTCCCAAATACATTCATACCATTACTCCCGACGGTGGTTTTATAGCTTTTAAAGTTCTGATAACTGAACATCAAAGGAGGGTTTTTCTAGAAGAATTCAGTTTTTACCCATTAAGATTTAATGTATTTATCTGTACAGCACAGGGGCAGTACAAAGACCTAAAAATAGACACAAACAGAAAACATTCTCCCCCTGAGTAGAATATTAATTGGAGCATCCACCCTGTTCGAGGGGAGAAGCTCACCTAATGTAATGACTTTCATATTTACCCACACCCTTTTACACGCACACACGAATAATAGCAATGACACTGCAGTTAATCACTTAAAAGTGCTGTTAAAGCAAAAACATTCGAGTGGCTTTTCACCATGAGCCTATGGAAGATGTGTGCTTCACTTCAGCGGGTTATTGATCATGTATCAGCGCAGCTTCTTCAGTTATCATCTAGACTTTGCAGCTTAGGATCAAAATCTGTTCAGCCTTCCAGCACATGGCCACACAAGTCATTTGTTTGTTATTCAGTAATAACTGTACGCGACAGGGTTGCAATGCAGCGCATTACAGCAATTTGTCCCCACAAATAGCCCACACAACACGTTATAATCATGGAGCAAATAGAGATCAATACATTGATTTCTGGAGTTATTTAACATCACTGTCTGTGTGTAAGCTCTGGGTACAGATGCCATCAACTAATGCACTGCATAATGCAGTTCTGGTAAAGAGCATATACAGTACTGCAATAAGCTGGCTCATTAAAGCACCACACGTGACAGTAATTTGATAATATTCTCATTAAGTTGCATGAAAATATAAATTCATTATAAATTAATATTTCCTGTTGACAGACTGTCAGTTTTACAGACTTAGACAAAATCATCCTTTTACTTCATGTGCCATTCCTCTCTGAAACCATGTCACAAATCTAATAAGGCTTTGCATAAAATGATTAAGTATTCAGACTTTATGTACTGCAGGTGTCTCACCAGATGCCCATGATCCCACACAGCATGGGAACCTCTGCATGCCATTCCAACCCACCTACTTGGTTATTGGTGGTCACAGCGCTGGTAACCTACTTAAAGCAAGTCATGTACAAAAGTGTGTGAGAAGGCTTCTGTACCAGGATCGCTTTAAATACTGCTTTACACTCTGGACTCACACAGCAGCAGGAAGCAAATACTATCCAGGTTCAGTTTAAACATAATGCACAGTTTATAAAACAGCCCTCAAAAGAATCAAACTTCAAGTTAACAGTGAGACTGACATTGATTTTGGAGTTATAGTTTTACTTTGGCCAGAAATGTCTATCATCCCGATCCTTGTGCTTTTGGTGTCTTGGTTACAACTGAGGTTTAAAGGGTGTGTGTCAGATAGAATGGATTTTTAAATATTAGTCTTGAGCTGTTTAAATAAATAAACATTTAAAATCAGTCTACACATTGATGGATGCCAGAATGCATTTATTATTTCAACATTTCTCCTGTCACTGTAAGAAAGTAGTGCTTTCATCGTTTGAATCTTGTCCAAGGAAAGCAAGCAAAGTTCCTGAGGCTGGAATGTTCTGTCAGTTAGAGGGATTGATTCTTTATTTGACATGGCTTCTAGATGCCCTAATTTATTAACAAGCGTTTAGTGACAAAGTCGAATAACACCACGTGGAGTTGTTTTACTCGCACGCACAGCAGCTCTTTTTTGCAGTAAAAGGAGCCACTCTGACAGCTACAGCTATGGAACGTGGAGCTTCATTCATCTCTGCCATTACAGTAACAGGATGGGGGAAAGTGTTAACCTACCGAAAAAAGTAACTGCAAAGCCCTCCAGGACGCAAGCCCACTTCCCGAGGAAGAAATAACCCCTGGCGTTAGTCAGGAAACTTATTACTCCACCGGTGAGGGAGACTAGAAAGTCGGCGATGGCCAGATTAACTATAATGTAATTCAGGGGCTGCCTCAGTTGTTTGAACTTGAAAGTGACAAACATGACCAGGAAATTTTCGGTTAAAGACAGCGAGCTGACCACAAACATGAGAACGGCCAGGATGGTGAAGTTCCAGGGCGCGATGTTCTTGATGGGTCCGTTAAAGGGATCATCGGGGGTGGAGAGTTCAGGTGCCACGGTGTAGGACACGCCGTTCACTGACACGCTGAAGGTTTCCATTGTCCGTGTCCGGAGAGTCCGCTGGCTGCTCGCTAACCCTAACCTCGGTCTCCTCTTCTCATACTCACAACTTAACGTGGAGTCTGTGCCAGACAGGCGCGCTCTGCAGTCACTTGGAAACGCGTCGCTTGAGCTGAGCACGCTGTGCGCTCCGGGACTCCTCTTTCCAAAAGTTCAGATGTTGAAATCCGCGCTGGCCGCCGCGCATGGCGAAGCGCAGGACGGAGAAATCCACTAAACGCGCTTGGGCGTGATTGTGCGCCGCTGCTGGAAAGTGTCAGTCTGCATGTGAGAGCGGAGCAGAGCGCGAGCTGTGCGCTGCGGTCAGGGGAGATGTCTTGAAAAAGCGCGAGTGGACGAATGATCGGGGGCATCTTGGCGGCTCTTATATAGGCGGCTCCGGCATCGCTCCTGTCCTCCAGGACGCCCTCTCCGTGCGCGCTTCTGTTCAAGCTCCGGACACTGATCACAGTCCAGTCTCCAGGCTTGGCGCGTACTCCGGATGAACCCGGGAGCGCATAGCTGCCATCCAACACTTTTACACACGAGCCAGTAATTACTACCATGCATGATTAATAGGCTACATCTAATGTGTGGCTATTTTAGGTGCATTTCGAAAGGACACGTAGAGATCTGGTGATTTTCGCCTTTTCAGTGCGCAATTTATTAGTGATGCATAATTAGGCACCGCAGCGGAGTGATTGGTCGCAATGGACCTGATGTATTCGTCTAAATTAACTATAAACGTTCACCTTTAAACTCTCTAAAATTCACATGCATATTGAAGTCCTTGAGCGATACGTGTTAAATTAACCTGGATAATTAGTCTTTACTCACATCTACAGGAATCCATCATTTATGGCACACAAATTTAAAAATTCGTGTGTGCTGCACATTGATCACAACAAAGCTCTCTGTTATAAGTAAATATGCAATTAAAAGTTCAAGTCACACAACATGATGGTGTCAAACTGGAACACACCTGGATAATTACCAACCCAGTCATCCATTAATCTTATAAAGGCGAACATTTTACAAGACAGCCTGTTGTGCTCCAAACCACCCTTTATAATCTGAGGGAAAATGCTTGTGCAGAGAACAGTCTGAAAGCAAGGAAGGTTGTACTTATGCTGATAAACCACTGCTTTTTAAAGAAATCAGAAGGCTGATTGACTGTATGCCAGTCAGCAATAACATTAAGACCACTGCGTGAAGGTGATCAGGTCTTTACCTCTGAATGTAAAGTGCCACCACCTTAATATTTTTATATATCCAGCCACAGGAACAAGCACTGACATACACATTTGAAATCTCAAACTAAGTGAACATTCATTGGATGGACCGTTCAACAGTTAGTGCCACTGGAGAGAACCGGTGTCCCTGCTCCAGCAGGTCAGAGTTGTTTTCATACATTTATGAAATGTATGAAAATTGCACATCAGGCTTTGCAGTTTGAATCTCTCATCAGACGAGAGGCTAAAGTACAAACTTGTCTCAGAGGATTTTTAAAGCTCTTTTAAAAAATTAGAGGCTTAGTGAAGGTTGTGTATTCTAAATGATTAGTTAGAAACAGCTTCACTGTTACTTAGTGGAAAGTGTCTCTTCAAGAGCATTTTTACATCATATTGGCTGTTTAGGGGTAAGAGGAGAATTTCTTACTGAGAAGACTGCCTGTGTAACTTAACTGCAGCTATCCAAAACATTTTCTTTCAAGCAAGAAAGTCAAACATCCAGCGCTATTGAAAGCTGTGCATACAGAGAAACCGCCTCATATATAATTCCTACACAGTGTGAGACATTATTAGTTGCTCAAAGGTTATAGAAAATAACACCACAAGAAAGGTGCATGCAGCGCTAAATAAAACTGCTCCTGACTTTAAGTTTGTGTAATTCAGTGATGATACAATTCAGTCCGAGGCACGGCATGAAGGTTCAAAAGGATCAAGAGTTTCAAAAGGATTAGGAGTTAAAGATTAGCTCCAAATTCATTCCCAGTCAAACAAACATGTCATCTATATTTCAGGTTCCACTTTCATGTTAACTTAGAGCCAGAACCTGAAGGTCAAGCCTGCACAGAACTTTTTCCTCTGAGGTGAATCACCTTCCCGCTGTCTCCATCTCAGCCCAGTCTTTGATCTAGTTCCCTCTTGTGAAAGCCAGCTTGTCACACCTCAGTGACCATCACGTAAATGAGGATTTATTGCCTGCTCTAACTGTCCAGACCTCTGTATGACTGCTTTTGTTTGGCAGGTGTTTTAAAGCTCCACTGCCGAGCTCAACCTTGTGCTTTTGCTCAAGAGAGGCAAAAGATCAGATTCACTTAGTTCATCTTTTGCTAAAATGCTTTCCACAGTTTCTTCAAATACAACATCATTTAGCTCCAGCAGTGATTTTCTATTGCACCTGACATATACTTCTGCATGAACACCTACGAACCTATCAGTGTAATTCAGTGGTGTAAATGTCAATGATATAATCAGTATGACAGCAGGATGACATGTAACATTCCTCTGGCTCATGCTTATTTTTTTCCAGCACTGATGTTTCTCCTTTTTAGGCAACTGACAGCACAAATTCATGTCTTGGCTCTGTTACATGTGTACCAGTCTTCTGTGGCACCGGATAGGAGTCCAAGCCCAAGGGTGGTGGGGGGAATCACCAGGACAGAACTGGAAAAGTTAGATGGTCACTCTATAATGGCATAATGGCACTCTATGATGGTGTGGAAATGGCTGAAAATGGGAGAAGCTCATTCACAGATTTCTTTCTTGCTTAGTTAGTGATCCAATAAGCTGTTTATGTTTTAAGTTTTTTGAGAAATGAAAACACATAGCTGGGAAAATTAGGTTTCTTTATTTACATGTTTTTTTGTACTTTATTTCCTTTAAAAAAAATACCCAACTTACAGAATAGGACAAGGCACGCAATCAGGCTATTTAGAGAAAGATACCTAAGTAAACAAGAAAAATTATGCAAAGTTTAGATGAGGGATACATGTGAGGGTCAGGGTGCTCTTTTATGTTCAGTGCAACAGACAGGGAGAAGGGTAGGACCAATAAATAGGTCATTTCATTTCAAACCAACACAGGACTTCTGCTTGGCTGAATCCGATTTGCATAAAAATTTTATGCTACAAAGTTTGAACATATATAATACTGTGAAACATATATATTTGAAATTGTCATGGTTTTATCTTTAATAGTTTTTGAGATATTCATGTTCAAACAGAGCTTCAGATTTCAATGTGCTAAAAAAAATAATGGAGACGACTGAACAGAAAATATTCCAAAAATAAAATTTTCTTGAGATGAAAAAAATATCTGCACACGTTCACCACAACGATTTCCTGTGTTATAATCAGAGTACCATCTGGAAACATGAGAATTTTGTTCTATTTGGACAGGACAGTCTCCTGATGGGGTTTGTTGTGGTACAACTTGTCATATTTGCTCCAGCATGAAAGTTGCATAAATAGAATGATAATATAATTTTATTCATTTTTGTGACAAAAAAAAAGACATTTAAAAAAGTTTTCTACATACTTTTACTGATAATACTGTGAAATTCAACTAGTTTTCTATTGCAATGTGGAAATGTTAACGATGTCTGACTTTGTAGGAGTGTGGGACTGTCATTTAATATTTTAAACGTTCAAAAAAATGTATAAATCACATGTTTGTTCAAAGAGATAATTGCAGGTTCTAAAAACTTTTGAAATATTTTGCAGCTGTAGGGTGGCTGCAGTTGATTTCTATAACCCCTTATAAGAAATTTCTGGATCATGAGTGAGTGTATTATATTTGTTTATTTTGATGGTGCAGTTTGTGCTTTTGTACATTTCTGCCTGATATGACTGACACCAACTATGCGACAGTGCACATCTGAACAACTTAAAAGCACATAAAACAGGCTTTCCTTATTAGGATCTCATCAAATTCAAAGGCATCACAAAAGCATTCATTTTTAAAATATTGACTGGATTTGATGTACGGCTGTTTCTCGTGAGCATGGGGTAAAAGGGTCCTAAAATAACCTACGTTATTCTACTGCCTGTACTCTAGATCACTTGGCAGTGTGCAGACAACACGTTTTATACTATTCAGGCTTATTGTAGAAGAATTTACCAAACAATTCTAAAACCAGTGAATTCTCTGCAGCTTTTTAAATCTACAGTCGACTCACCGTTTAAGTCTCATCTGAAATGTTTGATCTGAATTTGAATACTAGACTATATATAACACACATCCATGAAAAACCCACACACTGCTTTTAAGAATTGTGTATTCAACAAGCATAGTTGGTGAATTTAAAGTTCTCTCACGCAACTGTCTGGTTATCAGAAGTTGGGCCAAAAAAAATAAAAAGGCATTTTTGTGTACTTTGATTTCGTAGCATGTGGATGTATGCAGTAAACACCAAAGCTGTGTAAAGAAAACATTTTATCTTTCACTAACAGTTTCATTCTGTTCCAGGAGCGTCCACGTCAAACATTTGAGATCATACACAGACTTAGAAAATCTGTGTAGGTGGCAGATGCTGACAGTCAAGGTTCATTTCACTGCATTGTCACATCGAAAGCATCTATGAGCAGTTATAACTATGGTGGTAATAAAAGTTTTACAACCGAACAAGAACTAAATAAATAGAGAGTCATGACACATACCTGTTTTTGGATTTAACTTCATGACTGATGCACTTTTTCACTTTTGTTTCGATGGCAATATAAAACAAATATGTAGGACTGCATTCTTGCACTTGTTCAATATCTCTAAAAATAGAAACAGCCTTTCTGAAATTGATGCTGAAAAACTAGTTCATGCATTTATTACTTTTAGGTTGGACTTTGTAGTTTATTATTATCAGCTTGTTCCAAAAGCTCAGTTAATCCAAAATGCTGCGGTGAGAGTACTGACAGGGACTAGACAGAGAGAGCATATTTCTCCCTCATAGTGCTGTATCACCCCAGTAGAGCTCTTCACTCTCAGACTGCTGGTTTCCTTGTGGTTCACAGGATATTTAAACTTAGAATGGGACACAGACGCTTCAGTTTTCAGGCCCCTCCTCTGTGGAACATGTAAGCTCCCAGTTTGGATTCAGCAGATGAACACCCTCTCTATTTTTAAGAGTAAGCTTAAATCTTTCCATTTAGATAGAGCCTAATCATTAGGCCTGCACACCGAATCCTAGGCTGCTCATGAAGCAGTGAATGTTTCATCTTCAATCACCTCTTTCCACTCTCTTTGTGTGATAAACCACTCTGTTTATTAGTTAACACAGAGTGGTGCCATTAATTAATGCTCTAGATCTTATTTTATCAT